AAGCGAGGAAGAAAAAAGCAATCCGGCAAAGAATACCATTTCGAAGACGATATGGATGTTCACGAAGCCGATGAAGAGGAGGTTCCATAGTGATTTCCGATTTGTTCAATAAAACTGCATTTGTCTTGTCAAAATTGACTTATTTTTTCTCATTCAATCAATTTTTTTCACAATATTATCTTAACATAAAACCGATTTTATTAATTATTACATCACAATGCAAACAGCGCCCTTAACAGCGATCAACCTTCAACGCCGGAGTTCAGCCCATATAGAACCGTTCCTGATGTCATCTTAGCGTCACACGGTCCTGGAAACTCCTGTGGCAATCCTCGCATTAATGGCACCGTTCGTCGTTAACAGCTTACAAGCCCTGCTGAAACGTTTCGAGCAAACGCAGAAATTCTTCTCATCCGTAGACTCCCGTTTGTGACACATCAGCAGTAAGCTAGAAACACACGTCTCTTCACAAATATCACACCGATACTTGCCTTAAAGCAAATTTAGGTCTCTCCTTCTCCGAACGAAAACAAATTGATTGATTGTATTGAAAAATATAGTGGCCTCAACAGAAAACGATATCAACAATCAGCCGTATCGAAAAGGGCTTTTGTTATTTTTCGGTAAACAAAAGCCTTATCACGTGGGCCTCATCAGAAAAACTGACATCTGAGAGCCATAACAAAAAGGGCGCATGATGTTTTCTATCCAAACAGGGGCGGATTATTTTTTTTTTGTTTTTTGATGAAAATAAGCTGGTAAAGTCAATTATTTTATCAAGATAATGCTCAATCCATCTTATTTCAACACCTTACACTTTTAAAATAAGAAAAACTTATGTATTTTTTAAATAGGATTTAAAAATATAACGTTCAATCCAAGGTTGCAAAGACTCATTTCAGCTAAAACAATGTTTTTCTAAATTATGATATAATTAGATGCCATGATCAAATTTTGAATTGGTAGGATACAAGAAGAGGTTGCAAAGAATGTGTTTGACATATTAAACCTGTTTATTTCACTTCATGAGAGTCACAATCAGCGATTTTTCACAAACTCACTCACTCACTCACTCACTCACTCAGCGATCAGCAAATCACTGATTGTGACTCATAGAAAGCAAAATTTACAAGTTTTATGTTTCCAACGCATACTTTGCAACCTCTTCTTGTAAGTTACAAGTAAAACATGCCATCATACCATCTTTTGGTTTTATTATTCCGAAAAACATTATTTTAGCTGAAATGAATCTTTGCAACCTTGGTTCAATCTAATAGCCATTTTTCTAAATGTTTTTTTTAGGGGGCGACTCCGGCGTAGTGGTTAGCATCCATACCTCTCACGCCAGAGTCACGAGTTCAAATCTCACCCCCGGACAAGTCACGAATGACCCAAGAGTGTTAAAGTGACTATAATAAAAAAAAAAAAAAAAAAAAAAAAAAAAAAAAAAAAAAAATGTTTACATTTTGGTCTTAGGCCCTTTTCAATTGTTGGTCTTGAACTGTCACACTAGCATGGACCAGCCTGCTGTGATTGCAGAAAATTCGAGTGGAAGCGAATCGACCCAAATTCCAAAAAGAAAACGCTTTGGCTGGAACTGGACCGAAATGACTGCAACCCTGACGTCGACTGCGTTGTTTGGATTGACGGAACTCTTGAGATCATTATAATTTATTTGACCCATTAGGTACCTATATTAATATATATATATATAGGGTAAATGTTGGCTTCGGCACCCATTGACTGTTTTCGGCAACCAAAATTTAAACGTTAATTTCACTATGTTTTCCCATCAACGCACTTCCCTGAATGTGTCCAAACGATTGTTTAGCCTTTCAGCTTCAATCTGATTATATTTGAACGATCGAGCAATCCAGTAATGCTACATTTTTCTTCAAATAAATCATACGCACTACAAAATGAGGTTGATTTCGAGTTGCCGATAATAGAACAGCTGGTTAACACGCAGTTCTAATGGGAAGGTTGCCGAAGAAAAAGAGACTGCCGACAATAGTCACACTCACCTGAGAAGTTTGGAGCGTTGTAAAAACGCTTTCAAAACGTTTTGAAAAATTCTGTCGATTGGAATGGATAGAGAAGCAAGCAGCAGATGAATGTAAACAAACAGACACATCATATATGTGCGTGACGCTGAGAAAATGCTAGTAGAAGAGCAGACGCTGCTTAGATTGACGAGAATACGTAAATCCCCCTATATATTGCTGATATTTTTATTATTATATTTCTATTAATAGGGTAAGGTTGGGGGCAAGATGATCATCCTGTTACTGGATTTATTTATTGATGATCACATTGAGCCTGTTGATGTTGACAAACATATGAATGAATAAATCCAGTTACTGACCAATCTTTCCCCAAACCTTACTTTGTCTTATATTATTTCTTACAGATTTCCGTCCAAGCTGCTGTTTTCAAGAAACAATGGCATATTGTGAAACAATAAGTATGTTTCACCTACCGAACGAAATTTAACGTGTTTTTATCTGAGTTGGTTGGAAATGCTAACATGAAGCTTTAGTGTGATGATTTATTAGCTAGAGAATGATCTTTAGAAGAATGTAGGTGGATAGTTCCGTTAGAGTACGGCAGTATGAAAATTGAATAGAAGTTGAAAATGAGCGAAGGGCCATTAAGCGACAGTTTTCAAGATGACGCACATTTTTGCCTAGCCCGTACGATGTACGCGGGGACTTGAAGTATGTCTCCAAGTCCACAGGCAAAAATGTGCGTCACTCTTGTTGCTCATAAACTGACTGCGGCTGTGGAATAGTTCTAGCGACTGGACTTGGAGACATACTTCAAGTCCCCGCGTACATCGTACGGGCTAGGCAAAAATGTGCGTCATCTTGAAAACTGTCGCTTAATGGCCCTTCGCTCATTTTCAACTTCTATTCAATTTTCATACTGCCGTACTCTAACGGAACTATCCACCTACATTCTTCTAAAGATCATTCTCTAGCTAATAAATCATCACACTAAAGCTTCATGTTAGCATTTCTAACCAACTCTGAAAATCGTTAACTTCGCGTATGAAGTAACATAAAAAACACTTTGAATGTAACAACTCAAGGCGGGAGTAGCCGTCAACAATGCTGATGATGGTACAGCACGCAACAACCACCCTACTGCTTTCTCTCTGAGATGATCACGTTGGTCATGACGAGAGGAGCAACACAATAGTTGGGTAAAGAAGAACTGCATTATAACACACCATCGACTGGAAATGCTCTCGCGACGTGGGGCTTTAGGTAGTGATGAAAAACGTCGCTAGAACTATTCCACAGCCGCAGTCAGTTTATGAGCAACAAGAGTGACGCACATTTTTGCCTGTGGACTTGGAGACATACTTCAAGTCCCCGCGTACATCGTACGGGCTAGGCAAAAATGTGCGTCATCTTGAAAACTGTCGCTTAATGGCCCTTCGCTCATTTTCAACTTCTATTCAATTTTCATACTGCCGTACTCTAACGGAACTATCCACCTACATTCTTCTAAAGATCATTCTCTAGCTAATAAATCATCACACTAAAGCTTCATGTTAGCATTTCCAACCAACTCTGAAAATCGTTAACTTCGCGTATGAAGTAACATAAAAAACACTTTGAAAGTGTTTTTATCTGTTCAACCGGATAAGACAGTAGTATAAGCATAACGAACTTGATAATTAATTGACCGTTTTTAATCTTTTCCAAAGAATATCACTCAAAATGTGTCTACTGTGGGATGGGCAGGCTAATTTTCAACATTTCCGATGAGCGGCATCCGGGTAATATTCAGCACAATATTATCAAACATGTAACACAAAAATAGGCAAACCCTCCGCATGCTATCCTTGCTACTGATTCTGTCCAATTCTTAGGTATGCAAATTATAGTTATTCGTAAATGTATTTATTTTACACAACTTAACTACCTATTAGGCCCATGGACATGCGTAAACTTCTAACCAATCTGAAAAATCTGTCAGATCACCAAAAACCAAAATCAAAAACATAGAACGTTTCAAAGGTAGTCTAAATGAAAACGATGAATGATTGACTATTTTATGTGAAACGAAAAAATATAATTAATCTCTTCTATCGTATGACTATAACAAAAATACTATAATACTTAAATAAAATCTAAATTGAATGCAAAATTACTATAAAATTATTTCTTTATTGATGAAAAGTTTCTGACTATAATAGAATAAGGTATTGCCGAAGTCATTTACCCTACTGTGAACAGAATTGCTCAGTCTACAGGAAGCAACCGATTTCATCAAGGAAGTTCTATTAACAGCCAAGAATTAATCGTTTGGACTTACTGAAGTATTATGAAGGTGATACGTTTCATGAATTAATATAATCATAATTGCAAATATTACGCGACTGAATACAACCCGTTACTTCAGTATCGTCAACCTCCACGTCCGTGTGGGGAGAGAAGAAATTTCGCTTCTGTAATCTTAAAATTGAAACCTTAAAAACTTGTCCTGTAAAGTAATTATTCATCGTAAGCACATCAAACCTATTATCTAACTCAACAGGGAAAATATTGATATGAAACGGAAATTCATACTTTTGCTAATATTTCAGCATTCCACATATAATTTGAAATTCGTTAAAAAAAATTGGAAAAATTTCGGCAAACAATCAGTGTATCGAAATTTAACGAAGCAATTTGCTAAGCGTATAAGTAAAAATTGATAATACCGAAATTAGCACAAATGCATTTACATTTACATCTATTTCCAAATTTCGGTAGAAATTTCCCTTTTTTTTAAGGCTTTATTAAAGAGATTTTTAGCCTTAGGCCTAGGTAGAAATTTCCGATTCCACTTCAAATTTAAATAAAGCTTACATTGCATCGTTGAAATATTATTGAAATACAGATTGAAACACTCTGCTTTGATTTATGTCCTCGGATCTGGCATCCCTGGCCATGATCCGATCATTGAAAACAAACAATACAGCACGCCAGCACTAACATTCGACTCACCAATCAGTTCCATTGCTTTTTGCGGCGACACCGACGAAGGATCGATCCAACATTCCAGCCTGGAACAGGGCTGTATTTTAACTACGTCCGGAGGATCCACACCAACATTGAGACACAGGACCAGTGCAACACTGACGGTTTTCATGCGCTCCTTTACTCGCCAGCTTTGCGTCGTACAATTGATTCCTTCTATTTTACTCAAATGGCGGGCGTAGATGAAACTGATCGGCAGCTTCGAATCATCCTCCTCTTCGATAATATTGTCATTGCTCTTATCTGTCGTTTCAATCATGTTGCACATTACCTAACAAGTCCCGGCAGACCGAATTCGAACGACTTCCTAGAAAGTAATGCAGATGCTAAAATCACTTCACTGTTATACTGTTTACATTTATTACGACTCAAAAATTTTACATACGATTGTTTACATTTATTACGACTCAAAATACCACCCGCTAGGACTAAAGTCCTCTAAGTAAAAGTATGAACGTCTGTCAAAAGCTGTTCCAATCGAACCGTCAAAATGCACTGCTTTGCTCGATTTGAACAACTTTTTTTCAATTTAGTGGTGACAGTCGTCCATACTTTTACTAGAGTACTTTAATTACGGCTGCAGACCGTGATGAAAAACAATATTTACCTTTTGGGTTTACTTCCAGTCGCGTTCTTCTTTTTTTCCTCGCTATCAAAGTATAAAATAATATAATCTACGAATGGAGTTTCTCGCCATCAACACCGCACCCACCTCCTTCTATATTACTCGGATTATGTGCGAGAACGTGTTATCAATCGAAAGTAACCTTCCGAATATTGTGCCTTCTACACACAGTCCACAATATTGAAAACCTCTTATCAGGTTTGAAATTTTAATCCACTGATGCTTCTCTTGCAGCTGATGCTGGTGAATTTATATGCTCGTTTTCCATTTATTGATAGGTGGACATTAAAATACAATTTTTTCCGCATCGACTGCACGCACAAAACACAATTTTTTTCGCATATCTAATGCACCACCAAACGTCTTCAGCCGGCAAGGAACTTCAACACCAAACAGTACAATGATATTTTTACTTTGTGGAGAACATGCAATAAACTGGAAAATTGGTTCACTTATCGCAAAAATTATCTAAATAAATAAGACAACGTTTGAATACAGCGTGAGGTTAGATCTAATTTTCTTTTCAAAACTACGAATCAAAGGCAATGAAGCAATGTCAAAAAATAACCACAGTTGATTATATACCTTACACGCTATTTCAAAACTACCCAAATTTAGGTAGTATCCACCCAGATCGATCAAAACATTACCTGCCCAAAAATGGGTAAACTATGTTGGGAGCTAGGTTGGGAGCGACAAGTTGACAAATGGACAACATCGACATGAATCCGAATGGACTGGCAACTATGTTTCTTCGAGTGACTTCAAATTACTTTCACACAGTGCCGCAATTAGGTTTTGCACCGTGGGGTTAACCTCAATCTGATGACAGTTCAGTGGTACCAACAATCAATACGAACCTAACGATTTTAAATTGGCTCACTACTTGACTAGCCTGTTGGTCCCAAGCAAACGATTAACGTACCCCATTCTAGTCGAAATTCTAGCACTACGCAATGTTTGTTTTGATTCGCTATGAAAGTTTGACAGATAAAATGAGGGGTTATTCGTTTTTCCTATGTTTCGAGTGGTGAATCGATTAGCTTGGGACCGAAGATAGTACCAGAGCTGAGCCAAAAAGTTGAGCTCGTTTCTTCGGGACCTTCTGGTCTTAAAGTTACCTCCTTTATCAAACTATGAACTAAAGAACCTCCTTTATCAAACTATGTGGTAGAATTAGCGCGAAATCTGTTTGCATAGCAGTGGTTATGAAAAGAGAAAGTCGATGAAGAGAATCGATCAAAGCAGATAGGACCATTTGAAATGTTCATCGAGAATTTCATACATCAGCTTGAATTACGTTGATCGATATTACATTTTTTTTTGCTGTGCATAGTGCCGAGATGAATGAAAAGAACTTAATGTTGGGTACTTTTTTCTAACCGTGTAGTTTAAAACCAAAAACGATCAAAGTGACGTTTATCAAAAAACAAGCAGAGTCGATCTTTTTTTTTTTTTTTTGCTGTTGTCTGATTGGCGTTGACGGCACTGTCGAAAAATTTGCTCTTCCAGCAAATGTAGACAGTTTCTTATGGGAATTTTCGATGGAGTGAAAGGATAGTACGAAGTCCGACATGTTTCACGCACAGTCTGACGTTTGCTTATGGATTTTCTCATAGGAGTAAAGAGCTACAGAGTCGCCGTCAACGCCAATGACGGCTAAGACCACGATGGAAAATGAACAGGTGGGCAGGAACTCACAGTCTCCCAGTGTTGGTGAGTTCTTTGCCGTTAATGTTCACGAAAAGTTCACTATTTTGCTATACAGAAATTCAAAACAAAAATTTTTATCTGCGGGTTTGAACAGTTTTTGACCTGTTTCATACTACCGGAAGGTGTATGCTGGTCACAAATGCCGTGCCAAACTGATTTCCTACTCAATTAATCAATCTTTGATGTGAAATTCGCTAATAAACACGAGGCGCATTTCTTATAGCAAACATGCCATAAGAAAATGGGCATGGTTCATTTAAGTAAACAAACTAACACTTCTTCCGACTGTTACACCTATGTATTAGCCGTCTCGGGCTAAGACCATGGTTGATCCATCTTGCCGAGTCGATCTTGATACCCGATCCAGGTTGGAACTGAATAATAAACAAATTCGCTATAAACCAACAAACACCTGTATATACACATTGGGCTTAGCCGTGCGAAAGGGCATCACAAAATAAAAATTACGAAAATACGCGTAATTTTGTAATTAGATATTAGCTATTTCTTTAAAAACTATCTAATCAAAGTCCCTTAATGGAAGAAGATTTCAGTTATTATGTGTACATTTCACTAACTGTGGTTCCAGTGTATTTGGCCTTCAAATTGGTCCAGTGGATGGGATGGGAACTTTTCGTAAATAACTGATCCCGCTGCTTCTAAAGGTAATCAAAAAATGTTTTTTTTTTTACATTAAATTTTCTATTCAAAATTATTGTTTTAGTTCACTGAAAATAGTGTTATCAACGCTCAGAAAAGGATCGGTGTCATATATTAATTTACTGATAAGTGAGTAATAAAATCATGTTCGTCAACTCGTAATTTCAATAGCCACTAAGTGCAGTAGCAGAGGGAAAATGGGTTCTCAATTGCTGGCAGCGGTCTCGATCGATTGCAATGGTTCGACGTTTCATCATGATTTCCTTTTCCAGCTCGCTTCGGCGTATGATTAGTTCATTTTTCACTTCTTCCTCTTGCTTAAGTTGGGCATTCATTGCGGAAAGTCCTTCCTCGATTGACCTAACTTCGGCAATTAGCAGAGCTTGCGACTGATCCCGACAGTTTTCCACTCGTGGCCTCTGGTTGCGATTATCTAAACGAGTTTGAACAACCTTCATTGAGTGGTCCATGTTTCGGATGGCAATTTTCAGTTTTTCAATTTGAATCTCCGTATCAGCCAGGTGCTGAAGTGTCTGAAATTAATGATATCAACCAATTAAAATGCAGCTTTGAGTTTTTAATTATTTTTTTTTATAACTTACCGATCTGAGATCGATTTCCAGCTTTTGACGAACTTCTTCCATGCAATTGATGCGGTCTGCCAGGGCCCGCTCGACGCTGTCCGCTTGAGAACGAAGATCGCGGGCTGCATTCGTCAGAATGGCATCCAATGTTCCTCGCAGTTGCTCCGATTGCTTCCTACAAGTAGTACACATCGCCAAAGTTTCCTTGCTAAACTTTTCCCAGTAGATTTCCGTTGATTGCCTAAAACAATCCGAAGGCCATTAAGTACATAGTACGCGTGTGAGCAATGAATTCGTTTTGGGTTGCTAGGTACCTACTCGTTAGGACATCGTGTTGCACCGGGTCGAAATAACGTAATCGTAGATTTGTTGGTCAAGTTACAATTGATGGCATCGTTTTCATGGGCCAGCTTCTTGTCACTCCAATCAAATTCCATTCTTTGACGAGCAGCACGGTTTTGAACCTGTTGGGCTTCAATCTCTGAGAGGGTCTTAAGCAATATTGCCCGAATTTCTGCAATCAGTGATACCTCACGGATGAGTTCCTCTTCTGGCCTATCGCGAATGAGCTCCGTATCAGGACGACCCGTTCTACGATCCAGACATTCGCTTGCTTAGTGTTAGATTTAAAAGAGTCACATGGTTAGCATTTGGTATAATCGAATTATCCGGTAGATTATAGTTACCTATTGCTTCCGGCATGCGCAATACGGCCAAAGATTGCTTGAGTCTTCTCCGTTGCTCCTCCAGGGTACTAATCTCATCTTGCATTGCTTTGATGGCCCGTTCCAGTTCGCTTTTCATGTCGTCAATTGTTTTGGCCCTTGCATGCAGACTTTCGGTACAGTTCGCTTGGTTCTTATCCGTAATGGCATATGTCCGGATGATCGTGTTTTTGCTATCGCGTTCGATCTTTTCACTCTTGATGGCCGTACTGGCGGAAGCGTCAATCGTATCGGCATTTCTTTGACGCCATTCGTCCACGCTGTAGCGAGTGATAGAATATCGATCCACGACGGGACGTGTTCCAGTTTGCCCAGACAAGGCTCCCCAATCGATTCGGCCCGTTGCCCAGGGACCGATAGGGCCCATCGGTCGGGCCAGAGGATGCACGTCGGAGTTTCCATCTCGCTGGGGAAGATAACAGGGTGGGTCGCTGGCAGGCAAACCTACCGGATTCGTCTTAAGTTCCATGTTTTCGGGGCATGGTGGCGGAGGATCTTTGTGAACGTGGAACGGATTGTCATAGGATGTTTCCTATTGTTGGTATTCATTAGAGGAAAAAAAAGAAGTCAACATTCAGTCAAAAAACATGATTTTAGTAAAGCATTAAGTACATGTCCCCATCGAACAGCCCTAGTCCTTTTACTAATTTCTTGGAGCTTGTATAGATATTGTCGACCCTTCGGAAGCTTTTTCCTTATTTCTTCACACTGAATGATTGTTTAAGTTATTAAAATGCTGATATAAATAAAAATAACTGAAATTGAAACATATTACCGTTTGCGTAGGTTGATGGTCGATACACACGGCAGCACAAGGGGTACACGGTGGACAGTTTAGTTGAGCCATTAAGTTATCCAAAATTAATAAGCTCTGGTATTAGCAAATTTGCCGACGAACATTGAAAACCATTGTTAAATATTGCATTGATTTGTTTACTTCGAATAAATTGGTTACTATGAGAGTACCAAAACGACCGTTGTTAGGTTTGCAGTAGAAATCAAGCACGTGGTGAGGGTGGCTTGTTTGGGTATGTGTCTGATCTCTGAAGGCCCAAGCGCAATGTGGGCGGTAGCGGAACGGAAACGGAAAGTTTGACAGTTTTCACAAATGACATCAAGATGCCTAACCGAAGTCGAGTTGGTTCTAACTAGTTTTCAATCCGACAAGTAGGCTTACTCAGATCGGGCTTTTCCGCTGCCGCTGCCGTTCGGCTTCCGCAGTCATTGCGCTTGGGCCTTGAGCCTATGCATAAAAGGCTCAAAGTCAGCAATGACTTTCGACATAGGTAGGGTGGATGACGGCTTGAGCAAAACCTTTTTTTTCTCTGTTGGGGACCAAACACTACTGCGACCAGTAATTTGATCTATTGTAGTATATTCCGTGTCCTTAGTTGAGTGCATGTCGTATTACTCCATCACTATTGAGAAATGATGAAGTTTTCGATTTTTATTTACATTTGTCATTCTTGCGTGTACCGCAAGGACCCGACTCTAATTGATAGTTCCCGCTATTTATACCCCTTTGTCAGTCAAAATTGGATTCCTTAGCAACAAAATTAAGGAATGACACCGATATAATGACCATGCATCAGAACCCTACACTGAGAAAAAGTCAATGATTGTTTCTATGTGTTCCACACATAGATTTTTGCAATTAGATTTATGATATAGTTTCTATATGCCAGAGACATAAATCTCACTTGCACATATCATCTTTATATGTGATCACACATACTGTTTATATGACACATAATCTGTATGTGTTTTGTTCCTTGATATCTAATTATGTGTAGCCAAATGAATATTATGCTTAATATTTTATAGAAATTTTCTATTAGTTATGTGTGGATTTTTACTAGTGTAGTCTTGCATGAGCATGATAGACCGCTCACGGTTGCTACTCTGTTATTGCCAGACCAGGTGTACTTACACAGAGAACCAATAGACGATGCTTGGGACTAGCAATCATCCTCAATTTGTAAAAACTGGTGATCTCAAACTAGTCAACACCAGCGCCGGCCGCGCCCGAACACAGGTCAAGAACGGAAGGGATAGGAATGTGTTGACGTGACACTCACTTTGATGGAAGCCGAGAACACCTCTGCACTTCCACGAGGAATCACTGGGATGTTAGGTAAGAGGGTTTGGTTTGCAGCAGGGTTCGTTTTGGTAAACGATAATCTGAATTGATGTCCTAACGTTCATATAACGCGAAGGAACTTGGGTTTGAACCCACGGTCTTCTGCTCAGTAAGCAAAAACGTTTGCCACTATGCAGACGAGCTCCTTTTTAATCATCGAGTTGCTGTTATTACAATGTAGTTACGTTATCAAATAAATCGATTGACGAATCTTGAATGTGGATGGGCCTGAGATTAGACTGATGATGTTCTGCTCAGTAAACAAAAACGGTTGCTCTAAGGCCACCGAGCCCCTCATATCACATCATACCGTTACTGAAGTTGTTGTAACCATTCAAACCCGGTACCGACGACAATGAAAAGTTTTGCAAAATACACAATACAAAAGCGATTTGACTATAAATCTACTTAATATAAAAGGGCCTGGGACCGCGTTTTTCTGCTCAGTAAGCAAGCCACTGCAACAAACAATCTTTAAAATCCGAAAACTAAAAGCTACGAAAAAGTATTTAGGCCTTGATTAAATTCCACTTTCACGTGACGTTCAATGTTGTGATTTGCTTTTTAAGCATTGTTTAAGCAAACGACGTGACCCTATCAAATAAGTAATGTAAAGGGGCATGGGTGCTCAGTAAGCAAAAACGGTTGCTCTATATTCACCGAGCCATGTACATCACACAACGACTGATAATATATCAAGCCCGGGTAAAAAGCTATTCAAATAAAACGACGCCCCCGAAAGCAGTTAACAATGTTTTTTTCAAACCGGATCAACCATACGTCAAATTTAAATTTACTTATTACCGTGCCGTTACACCTGAGTTCTAGCTGATACGATTTTCTACAATAATGGCTTGGGATAGATCTTAATATCTTTTCCCAGCAAGGCTCAAACATGTGTTTGAGCCTGGATCGATCAAAAGTCATATTCTACCGAAAGTAATGCTTTTGTACTCCATACCTATCCGAAAGTTTGCTCACTCGTTCAAAATCGATATCGTACATCATAAAATACAATAAAACATTCCTAATGAAACTTAATAAATAAAACCTTAATACAATCAAAGTGTAGCACATGGATGATACGCGACTGAAAAATTAATAATACCTTTGAAAGATAGTTACCTTTGATAGGTTAAGGTATTGCCGAAGCCAACTTTTCCCCTATATAATGTCAAATCAACTCGTTTATAAAGAAATTAAAATTTGAAAAATTAAAGGAAAAACTTGCACTGTTTTTAAAACTAGAAGTCGTTTGGTCACTTATTTCTTTAACATGGTCACTAAAATCACTATTTTTGACGGCATTGACCACTACCAGTCCTGCATTCAATCTAAAAAAGCCATGGTGTTCCAAAGTAACCATGAACGGGAAAGAGTTAAAGAGGTGGAAATGGATGAAAAAACAATGGGAAATAATGATGTTAGCAAAATTTAATGAAGTACCAAAATTTCGCGCAATGCCTATATCCGCCAATTTTTCCTAGTTTGAAGTAGTCAGGATTATGATTATTTTTTACACCGTAACGTACCACAAAAAAGTGATCTACCCGCATTACATGGAAAACAGAGATTTAATCTAAAAAAAATCTCATTTTTTATATCTATTGTAAAATATCGTCCTAAAACTGCTTGGTTGAATTTTAAATTTTGTACACTTTCTTTTCAAGCAAAAATCTGTGAAAACAAAGCATGATCACTATAGGATTTTTTTTTTCGATCCAACGGTGAAGGACGTGAACAAAGCTGGGAATATACGTAACAAAGAACGCGTAAGGAATTTCGGATACTTCTGCTCAAGAAATCTGAGCCATTCTGTTAACGAATTAAATTTATTCTCATTTTCGTTCACATCCACAATTGGTAATTACGTTAATTAATTTTGTGTGTATGTTCTATCTATCTAAGAATCACCTTATCATTCACTTCAACTTATTAACGACCATGCACCTACCTACCATTCAAAACTTTCCGTCTTAACATTGTGGTAGTTGATTTGCAGTAAGTTGTATACCTCTATTCAATAAAAATCTAACTAAATCTACTTATTTAGGAAGAATTCAGGATTTCAAACGGAAGATTTGATTGGCTCGCTATTATTATAGGAAATAAAAAAATCTGGAAATATAACTTTAAAAATAATTCTCTTTGTTCAATCACAAGTTAATTTTAGTAAAAGAAAATGATAAACTATATCCAAGGAAGGCAGCCCAAAGAGATTTCGCAACTCCTTCCGGTAGTAACCATTATGTACAGCTTTCATTAGATTGGGGCCAAGAACGAGACGCGTTTAGGTATCACAAATTTATCATTTTGCTGCTTTTTCATTAAAACGTTTATTATTTTCCAATGAACAACAAAAAACCAGGGAAGAGTCAAATCTGCGTAGTGAATTTGTAATTGGTGAATCAAAGTTAGCTTCCATGGAGAATAGAACTATGAAAGTGATGATGATTTTAAAAAGAAATACGGGGAGGTAGGATATGAGTGCAATCGTGAAATGCATGCATTTTGCGAACAAATTAGTTTAATGAAAGCTGGTTATTGCTACGTTGGTAGACAACTCAAGGGCTACTCAATAGACATACATATATAAAAAAATCCGTTTCAGATTTTTTGTTGCATAGGTACACATATTTCAACTGTTCTACCTCCGTAGGAGTAACCAAATAAAAAAAAAAATGGCTACATTTGCAAAATAAAAGTATTTTAAGTTTGCATTCGTATTACCTTCCAATTAAAAGTTTTGACATAATCATCACTTTCATAGTTGTTCAATTCTCCACGGGGGCTAACTTTAATCCACCAATCGCTGACTTGTGTTTGTGTAGGAAGTGTGATTACGTTTGTGTTATTTTATCTCTCATAAAAAACGTCGCTACCTTTAAAACTTAAAAACGTTTTGAAGATTTCAGTCTGTTGTGTTATTTTCTACAAGTTGTTACTTTAAATAAGTTATTAAGTTTACTGAATTCCGTACACTGCGCAGTTTAATCGTTAACAAAGAAAAGAAAACAGATGAACAAGAAGTACAATTTCGTTAGTACCAAGAGTAATAGCGTGAAGGTAAAGAATTGCACTAAAGAGAAGAATGTAAGAAAATATCGAATCAAGCTAAACATTGCACTAGGTCCTAAGTAACATTGATCGATTCTCTTTGTCGGCTTTCTCTTTAGTTAATAACTTGAGCACAAAACCGTTTCTTGTTGTGTTTTTCGTATTAGATGCTTGATAAAAGCTTCTTTTATCGAGCTGTGTGCTGAAAATACCTAGGAATGTATGTACATGGCCGTGGGGATACAAACAAAAAAGTCGGCGGAGAAAATGTGTCAATATTACTTAGGACCTAATGCCATGTTCAGCTTGAAATGTGGCTCGATGGATACGTTTTTTTTTTTTTTTTGGAATTCGTTTCAACTTCAGACCATCAGGGGCTGTGCTATTGGTCCCTGTAATGTGTTTCATGGTAATTTTGTTTCAAAATTCAGTATGGAAAACAAATATCACAGAGAAAATAACAGAACCACTTCGATTAATAAGTGAAAGAAAACTAAAGCGATTTAATTTTAACAGAAAACGAATTCGTCGAGTCGCAAATGGTCACAATATTTGTACGATGATACAGTGGACGAAAAGGAAAACAAAAATCTTCATTTTCTCGAAACCAGCTGAGATCATGCTCACCGGCTATCACTAGCTGACCAGTGGCTTTTCTTTGTTTCAGAATTCCACTCTGCAAATAAAAATAATTCGCGAGGATGAACGCGAGCTTCCCTTTTTCTGGCATTTTCTAAAAACAATAAATAAAATCAATATGTACTTCTTATCGCAAAACTTAATGAACTAAGAACTTCTGTGCCAAAAAAGCAGAAGGAAAAAAAACAATTGAAATATTAGATAACGTAATTGCGTTCTTAAAACAAGTGCGTGCGACCTCGAAAAGACTATTTTGCCTTAATCTTCTATCTGGTCTTTTGCCTGCCCATCATCATCATCATCATCATCACAGCCTAGACCATCTCGGTGTCGTCGTAGCGACCACCACCGCTACTGCTAGTTCCGCCATCCATTCCGGAACAATTCGGACCACTGTGCACATCCTCTTCGCTCGGATCGATCCACTCCGGTACGCACTGATCGTCCAAATGGGCGGTTGGGTTCGAGCGGCTCACGTAGGTCAACTGATCCCGTGTGTCGTCGTGTTGCAACCACGGATGGTACAGAACGTCCTCCGAGGCTATTCGTTCCTCCGGTTCCCGTCGCAGCAAGGCACGAATCATGCATCGTGCCTTCGATGATAGGCAATCCGGCACGGTGAACTGACCGCGGCTGATCTTCGCAAACAGAGACGCGTGCTCCGAATCGTTGAAGGGATATCTGTGGACAAAAAAGGATGACAAGTTTAGATCGATTTGTATTTTTTTTTAGCACATAACAATAGAGTCCTAAACAATGGAAAATCCTGCAGAAAGGAGATAAATGCATTGCAATGCTAATGCATTTTATGTTCAACTCGGGGAGCATTACTTTGTGACTGGCAATCAGTTCTAGTCGGGACAAGGTATGAAGTACTAATAAATAGCTCAGAAAATCTAATTAGTTCCCCAATATGCTGATAGAAAGACAGTGGATGAGACTCGTCGAGACGGGGGACAAGACAAACAAAAACTAATAAAGAGAGACAAAAGACAAACGAAATAAATTCTTATAATAGACATTCGACTGCATATAGCAGAGATCGCGGGTACCCAATACGTCTCTGATAGGGATATAGGGTTGTCTTCCTTGGGCCTCGAGAGTATTCAAAAGTCGCTCTCTGGCGGCGTCATTATCCGTACATTGCTAAACTGCGTGATCGATGTCGTCGTAACCGCTTCCACACCGACAGATGTTGCTGTCCACGAGGTTTATTCTATTGAGATGCGCAGCTAGCGAGTAGTGGTTGGACATAAGTCTACTCATCACGCGAATGAAGTCACGACTTAAGCCCAAGCCTTTAAACCACGCTCTTGAAGAAACATTAGGAATAATTGAATGTAACCACCGTCCAAGATTTCCAGTGTCCCAATCGGTTTGCCAACTCGAAAGGGTACTCTGACGCAGTGTCTAACTTGTTTCATCGACCGAATAGCCTCGATCGAACTGAGAGTATCCGAGAAGATGAAGTAATGGTCTGCGGGCATGTTGGAAATCATCCCCAATGCGAAGTTGATTGCTGCCAGCTCAGCAACATAAACGGAACAAGGTTCCTGAAGTTTGCGGAAGGCGCTAGAGTTTTCATTGAAGACACCGAAGCCAGTGGATCCATTGAGACGTGACCCGTCTGTAAAATATCTTTTCACGCAATTGACGTGTTGGTACTTTTCAGTAAAAATACGTGGGATAACAATAGTTCGAAGTTGATCTGGAATCCCATGAATCACTTGTTTCATGGACAGATCATATTCAATTGAGGAACTGCGATTGATGAAGTGAGCACGGTCTGGAGTATAACAAGGAAGACACATATCCGAGGATACGTAGTGGTGGTAGATTCTCATAAATCGAGATTGTGTGTTCAGCTTAAAAATTTCTTCAAAATTTGCAATTATAAGTGTGTTTGTCACTCCGCATTTGATTAGTATCCTGAGAGAGAGCTCCCAGAAACGGTTCTGGAGGGGTGTTACTCCTGCCAGAACCTCGAGACTCATGTTATGCGTTGAGTACATACAGCCAATAGCAATACGCAGACAACGATATTGAATTCGTTTCAATTTTATTAGGCGACATTTTCTTGCCCAGAGAAAGCAAAAAGAGCCGTACTCTAGAACAGAGAGAATTGTTGTTTTGTAAAGCGTTATGAGGTCTCCCGGATGAGCCCCCGACCATGTGCCGCAAATTGAACGGAGAAAGTTGATCCTCTGTTGACATTTTTGCTTCATATACGTAATATGGGTATTCCAAGTGCACTTTGAATCAAACCAGACCCCAAGGTACTTGAAAGACAATGATTGAGTAATGTTTCTGCCCAAAGTATTAAGCTGCATTTGGGCTAGGTACCGCTTTCAAGTAAACACTACCAGTTCAGTTTTCTGCGGCGAGAATTCGATCCCTAGATCCCAAGAAGACAAGTTATCTAAGGAACTTTGCAATGGTCCTTGCAAGTCCACGGCATGTGGACCTCTTACGGAAACCACACCGTCATCTGCAAGTTGTCTAAGCGTGCATTGTTCTGCCAAACAGTTGTCGATATATTTGACATAAAAGTTATAAAGAAGAGGGCTGAGACATGAGCCTTGGGACAGGCTCACTCACTCACTCAATCAGGCTAAGGCCTTGTTGTCCTCTGCTGTCCGAAGAAGTCGTCTCCACTCTACTCGATCCATGGCCACAGTTCGCCAGCCTCGTAGTCTGCGAAGGGTCCGCAGGTCACCTTCTACTTGGTCGATCCACCTTGCCCGCTGCGCGCCTCTTCTTCTTGTTCCTGTTGGGTCGCTTTCTAGAACCATTTTCACTGGGTCGTCGTGCGGCATTCTTACGACGTGCCCAGCCCACCGTAGTCGCCCAATTTTTGCAATGTGGACGATGGATGGTTCTCCCAGCAGCTGGTGCAATTCGTGGTTCATTCGCCTCCTCCACGTTCCGTCATCCATCTGCACTCCACCGTAGATGGTACGCAACATCTTCCGTTCGAAAACACCAAGGGCGCGTTGGTCCTCCACGAGCATAGTCCAGGTCTCGTGGCCGTAAAGGACCACCGGTCTAATCAGCGTCTTGTAGACAGTCAACTTCGTGCGGCGGCGAATTTTATTCGACCGGAGCGTCCTCCGGAGTCCAAAGTAGGCACGATTCCCTGCCATAATGCGTCTTTGAATTTCTCTGCTGGTATCATTTTCGGCGGTCACCAGTGAGCCCAAATACACGAACTCATCGACCACCTCGATTTCGTCACCGTCAATCTGAACTCGGGGTGGGAGGCTAACATTGTCTTCCCTAGAACCTCTTGCTTTCATATATTTTGTCTTTGATGCGTTGATGGCAAGTCCAATCCGTCTAGCTTCAGCCTTCAGTCTGATGTACGTTTCCGCCATCATCTCAAAGTTCCGTGCCATAATGTCAATGTCATCGGCGAAACCAAGGAGCTGGATGGACTTCCTGAATATCGTGCCACTCGTGTCTATCCCAGCTCTTCTGATCACACCTTCTAACGCGATGTTCAACAGCAGACACGAAAGTCCATCACCCTGCCGTAACCCCCTTCGAGATTCAAAGGGACTCGAGAGTGTCCCCGATACTCGAACAACGCACGTCACTCGATCCATCGTCGCCTTGACCAATCGCGTCAGTTTATCCGGAAATCCGTACTCGTGCATAATCTGCCATAGCTGATCTCGATCGATTGTGTCGTATGCGGATTTGAAATCGATGAACAAATGATGTGTGGGCACGTTGTATTCGCGGCATTTCTGCAGAACCTGCCGAATCGCGAAAATTTGGTCCGTGGTAGCGCGGGCACCCATGAATCCCGCCTGGTATTGCCCCACGAACTCTCTTGCATATGGTGACAGACGGCGGCATAGAATTTGGGAGAGTACCTTGTAGGCGGCGCTCAGCAGTGTGATCGCGCGGTAGTTGCAGCAATCCAACTTGTCGCCCTTTTTGTAGATTGGGCATACGACACCTTCCATCCACTCCTCCGGTAATATCTCCTCCTCCCAAATCTTGGCAATTACCCAGTGCAGCGCTCTAGCCAGTGCTTCACCACCGTATTTCAATAGCTCACTTGGTAGTTGATCTACACCAGTTGCTTTGTTGTTCTTCAGCCGACCGATCTCCTCCTCAACTTCTTGAAGATCAGGGGCCGGTAGCCTGTCGTCTTCTGCGCGTGCTCCAAGGTCTGTTGCCGTGCCACCTTCGTTTTCTGCTGCTTCACCGTTGAGGTGCTCGTCATAATACTGCTTCCACCTCTCAATCACCTCACACTCGTTCGTGAGAAGGTTACCGTCCAAGTCCTTGCACATATCGGCTTGCGGCACGTAGCCTTTGCGCGAACTATTTAGCTTCTCGTAGAACTTCCGTGTGTCGTTTACGCGGTACAGATTTTCCATCGCCTCGCGATCTCGATCTTCCTGCTGACGCTTCTTCCTTCGGAAAACCGAGTTTTGTCTGTTCCGCGCTTGTCTGTATCGCTCCACATTCAATCTCGTGCGGTGTTGCAGCATTCTCGCCCGTGCTGCATTCTTCTCCTCTACTAACAGTTTGCAATCGGACAGGCCCATGTAGCTAATTCTGGAAGTTGTCAGTTGTCCAAGGGAAAAGTTCATTTGCTTTTCTGACAACAAATTGTACAAGAAATTATTTAAAATTCCAGAAAGTTCACATCTGTACATATTTTCTAACAGGATTTCAATGGAAACTGAATCAAAAGCCCCCTTAATGTCCAAAAATACTGAAGCCAATTGCGCTAGTGCGCAGAGGCCAGTTGAATATCTGTGAAAAGCAGCGCTAGACAATCGTTTGTTCCTTTGCTCTTGCGGAACCCAAACTGTGTATTTGATAGCAAGTTATTTGTTTCGACCCACTGATCGAGTCTCAGAAGGATCATTTTCTCCAACAATTTCCTAATGCACGAAAGCATCGCAATCGGACGGTATGAGTCAGACGCTGGTTTGCCAGGTTTTCGAATGGCTATTACTTTGACCTGTCTCCATTCAGGCGGTATAATGTTGTTTTCTAGTAAGGAATTGAATAAGTCTAGCAAGCGTCTTTTAGCGATATCTGGGAGATTTTTCAGAAGATTGAATTTAATCATATCGCTTCCCGGTGAGGAGTTGTTCGATGAAAGAAGAGCCATAGAGAATTCCAGCATTGTGAATGGGAACACTTCAGGTTGATCAAGAATGTTTCTGAAGATCTGCAACTATTCAAAAATACAACTTCTTCTTATTTCTTGCATTTAAAGCTTATTGCTTATCGCATATTAGCTTATTGCGTGCTCTCAGCTTAGTGTTCTAGATGCACTTCCACAGTTATTAATTGAGAGCTTTCGATGCCTGTACCATTTTTGCATTCGTATAATTGTGTGGCAAGTAGAATCATAATCTATGCCAAGGGAAGTCGGGAAATTTTCCAACCCGAAAAATTCCTAGACCAGACCGGGAATCGAACCCAGTCACCTCCAGCATGGTCTTGCTTTGTAACTACGCCTTTACCGACTGAGGTAAGGGAGGTCCCATTGAAAAATACAAATGTCACAGATAATCCTCCAAGACGGCAGGCTAACCAGAAAGTATTCATATGATCTCCAGCTGATCAAAGACTTCAGTTAAGCATTATTCTAAAGATCTTGGATTGTACAATAAATTTAAATTATTTCACATATTCTCTCAATATTGATG